TTCCTTTACAGCTCTGCCAGCCTCAGAGCAAGTGGTGAATATGGATAGACTGGCACAACTGAGATCTAGAGTCCTGGGAATTAAGGGTGGCAGTTCTGCATCATTGCCTCAGACTTCTCCTCCTGTAGTGGTTAATGAAGAGTTAGTTCTACTCAAGCCCATTCCAACTCTACCATCCTCCACTTTTTTTTACTTTTTAACCCCTCAGGGGTTTCCCTTATAGACAGTAAGAAGAAGAAGAGGAAGAAGAGATTGGATTTATACCCCGCCCTTCACTACCCAAAGGAGTCTCAGAGCGGCTTACAAACTCCTTTCCCTTCCCCTCCCCACAACAGACACCCTGTGAGGTCGGTGGGACTGTTAACCCCTCAGGGGTTTCCCTTATAGACAGTAAGAAGAAGAAGAGGAAGAAGAGATTGGATTTATACCCCGCCCTTCACTACCCAAAGGAGTCTCAGAACGGCTTACAAACTCCTTTCCCTTCCCCTCCCCACAATAGACACCCTGTGAGTTCGGGGGGACTGAGAGAGCTCTGACAGAAACTGCTCTTTTTCGAGGACAGCTGTGCCAGAACTATGGCTCACCCAAAGTCATCCAGCAGGTACAAGTGGAGGAGTGGGGAATCAAACCCGGTTCTCCCAGATTAGAGTCTGCACGCTTAACCACTGCACCAAACTGGCTCACCTACACCAAACTGGCTCATCTCCTCGCCTAAAGAATACACCTTTACTCATCATTCTGTTAAAGTAACATGTTTCTTTTGGGTTAGGTAGACCTCCTCCTTTGTTGGAAGCCCAAATTTCAGTGAAAGACTGGCCTGTCCATTTTAGCCAAGTATTCAGGGCTTATTCTATTCCAGAGAATGCGGTATCGAGGCAGAAATCTTTCCGTGATTTATCCACTCTGCCACAATGGCCTCCTGTCACCGAGCCCAAGATCAGCGGTCTTATTTAATTATGTGCTTCTGGAAAGTCCCCTGGTGGGGATTTGAGTCCCCCAGAGTTGTTCAAGCTCTTTCCTGATTGGTGGGCATCTATTTAACTTACGTTATTCACCCAGGTAAATTCAACAGGATGGAAACTGAGTATTGTAGTTGCAGTCTTCAAAAGGGGGAGCAAAGCAGACTCTCAGAACTATCGTCCAATAAGTTTGCTGGACATAGCTGCCAAACTGTATAGCAAATACCTTCTGCATAAATTGGAGGATCAGGAGGCTTCCAACCATGTTATTCCACCTTGAGGAAACAGGATTCAGAAAAGGACCATGTACCATCAATCACTGTCAAACTCCTTACCAACTAACTTTTCAAAGTATTAAGGGCCCTACTACATCCTTGTACGTGGCCTTTGTAGATTTGACAGTTGCCTTTGATTCAGTTGATTCAGTTGGTGGAGAACGTCTGTGGATGAAGTTGTTAGCTTCACACCAACATCTCTGCAAAAAGTAGGGTGGGTACCTCAGGTTCCTTAACAGAGGACATCCCAATTTCCAGAGGGGTGAAACAAGGGTGTGTTTTGGCCCCCCCTAATGTATATCTAAATGACATCATCCCAAGGCTAGCTGGCTCTGAGTTTGTCCTTTTTTTGGCTTTCAGAAAATACCAGTTTTCTTATATGCTGATGATATGGTTATTGTCTTCTTTACACACATAGGCCTTAGAAGGTTGTGATACATATTAGGTGATTTCTGTAAAGAAGAAGCCTTAAACATTAATTATACCAAGACCAAGGTGATGGTCTTTGGGAAAAGGCCATGTAAGTTTAAGTGGACCATAGACGGAATCCCCGTAGATCAATGCAGCACCTTCAAATATCTAGGGGTAGCCTTCAGCAGAATTTTGTCTTGTAGAGCTCACTTGGCAATAACCAGATCTACAGTTTTAAGAGCAATAGGTGCTATTCTGAAATTTTATTACACAAAAGGAGGTTTTCTAAAAACCAGCTTTAAAACTATATCAAAGCAAGGGTGTCCCTCAGCTCCTATATGGTGTAGAGGTTTGGGGTTGGAAAGA